TGCGATATAAATTGGAAGTTATGTTATGGCACATGATATTGTGTACTAAGTAGCTTTATTGTGTTTGAAATGTACTCATCATTACAGATTCATTATAAAATTGAAATGTAAAAATAGCATTGCAGTTCCCCTTTAATATAGGATAATATTTCATATAGCAATATTTTAGGTACAAATAAAACCACTAATGAGTTAATATGAAACATTTTATGAGCTAATGCATATTTAAACATTCACAGTTTAACAGTCTATTACAGGTCTCAAAAAGACCTTCAGGTTAATGCATTAAATGAAACCCCTAAACCAGTCGTTGACCTACAGTATGCATGACGTTACTGGCACACAAAGGGATTTTTAACAGCATGTGCAAAGAAAATGGCATGTGTAATAAAAGTCTAATGGGCAGCAAAGATATTAAGTTCAGAAACAATTAAATCTGTGCTCGACTGTAATTCCCTGCAACATATATCCTAATGAAAGTTCTTTGCCACAAAAAAAAATGATTCACTTGGTTTATTTATTGCATTATTTGTAGTGGAGTTAGGAAATTGTTTTCACAGCAAAGCTCACAATCTGTGCTGCTGATAACATCAGACTTAAGTGTAAGCGCTAACATTTTGCACAAAATGACAGTTGCAAGAAGAAATCTAAGTCAGATGTTTGCATATTTGGAGAGAAGAATATGGATTTGTTCAACATAATGTCCATATTGTTTGTGCTCTAGAATGTGAGAGCATCGTTTGTCAAACATCAAATTTTCAGCAACATTTTCAGACGAAACAGGAAAAACAGTTCAAGGATGAGTTGGACAAGACTGAGTCTATCAAACAGGCCACAGCAAGGCACAGAAAACAAAGCAACACCTTTTAAATGACAAAGTCAGACAAAGTGTTGTGAAACATGGAAAATCATTTACAGATGGGGCACATATAATAGAGCTTTTCTTATATGTTCTGATGTTTAATTAGAATGCCTAACAAGGAGATGATCATCTCTAGGATTAAGGGTTCACCTGTGTCTGCTAGATCAATGAAGAACCAAATAAGTGAAATGTCTGAAAATGTTAACAAACAACAGACATTGGCATTAAAAATATAAAAGTATTTTGTGTTGCACTTGATGAGTGTGTGAATATAAACAATGAAACGGCATTATCAAATAT